GTATAGCTATAATAATTCCAATAATTTGCCTAATGAAAAAACTGCTTATATTAAAAGCATGTTTTTTGTGTAGATATAATAGTTTTTTGTGTAGTTTTTTTGTCAATTTACATAAAAGGATATATATATATATATTTTTTTTACAAGTTCAACTTAGAAAATGTCATAGTTTTTGTTAAACCCACTAAATGTAAGTCTAATTAAATCTGAGTAAAAAAAAAACAATATAATTTTTCAAGAAGTATGAGTAATAAAGATTTTTAAAATTAGCAACACGTACTACTCAAATTGAAAAATCAGCACAAAGCTATCATTGTTTTGTGCTTCCTTTATTTCCTAATCTTTTACTCATTAAGTTTGGCTCAGTGTGCGGCCTAAGTAGCCTTTGATTGCCAAGAGAGATCCTCTGGCGGAAGTTCAAATCAAAAGACTTAGGCAACGAACTTGCAACTTGCAGGCCGCTTGCACAAGTTTCGTCTGGCCAGGCGCATCCGCCAACAAAAAAAAACAAAAGCAACAAAAACAACAAAAGCAACAATGGCCACATTGCGCAAAAACCTCTTGCACTTGCGAAATCCCGCCGAAGTTCTCCGAACCTCTGTTTGTGTGCGATTTTAACGAGGTTCTACTAATTTGGCTTACCAAAAAATAGAAAAAAAAAACCGAAGTAAAGTAAAAAAAAATAAAACTGGAAAAAAAAGAAGCACCAAAAAGTTGGACTAACTGGGTCAAGAGAAGCGCACCGCAAAGGAGAAGCTGCGTGAGAGCCGGCTTCATTCCAGCGCCAATTTATGTAAATCCAAAACCAATCAGCGGCCAAAGCTCCCCATTTCCCCCTCCCCCCCCCTCCTCCTCTACCCCCTCCAATGATGACCATCATCATTATTATTACGGCCATTATGATGGAGCCTAACGGTCTGAGCCGCTTTTCGACCAAACTCCCGCCGTTTGGGTGAATGTAAAGAAAATTTCTTTTCTTTTCCAGCTATTTCTTATTTTCCTTAAGTTGGTTGGTTTTAGGTAGTTCGGGTAGGGAAAACCCTGGGCTATCGCAATTGGGCCATCGGGCGCGGATTGTGGCGGCAGCACTTGCACTTTCCGGCCAAAAAAAAAAAAAACAAAACAAAACAGAACATAAAAACAACGTAAAGATATTAACATCGAGATCAGCAGTTGCGGATAAATCGACGAAGCGTAGGCGCTTGGCAATCAGCGCATGACGTCCCAGAACTGCACTCACTGCAGAAAACCTTTGGCTTTGGCTCTTAGTTCTGGCACTTTCCCAGCTCTTCCCCGCCAAGACTAATTAGCGGTGGGGTCAAATGAGCTGACCAAATATAACGTGGGGAAAACAATGGAATGGCCACTCCCCACTCACAGGTTGGAAAATTCCTCCAGGTGTGGACTTGCATTTAAAACGAAATTAGCCGACATACGCAAATTGCAGACTGTGTTGTTTGTTTGCGTCTGCAATGCGGAATGTGGATGGAATATGGAAAATGGAAAATGGGAAATGGTGGGGAAATAGGGGGGTAATAAGGGGGGGGATAATGCCTAGGTTGGGCCTGGGACCGAACCAAAGTGGGGGTCACCATTTGCTGCTGCAGTCGCCCCTTCCCCGGGAGCAACTTTCTACGCAGCCAGCGATCGCTGGTTGTTGCAGGTTCAGCTGCACTCTAAGCCGCCGCTGCTGAGTCGCATTAATTGAGGCCTGCACTCAAGCGGAAACGCTGGACCATTCACACTTGCCACTTGCCACTTGCCACTCTGATTCGAAACTGGTATTTTGCATATAAATAAAGCCGGCGAGGCGGCAAATGTGGATGTGTTTCGATAACTTATTCAATGGCTTGCCAACCAAAGCGTAACCTTTTCTTTAGGCCGAAAGAATAGCAAACTGTATCACTTAACAAATATTTTGCATATAAATTAAATAGATGGGCAGAATAAATATTACTTAACACAGATTCTTTGTCAACCTAAAAGATGCTAAATGAGATATGCTAAATTGGTTTATTTTTTAAACAAATTGAAATGATTAATCAAATAAAAGACAAAGTTATTGATGATTAGAGATTAGTTATGTTTATATTGTATTTTGTTACTTTTAGTTATTTTTTAACTTGAATGGTGGAACACAAATTTCAGTTTGGCCTTTGCAGTTTATTTATGAATGTAATTTTTCAACTGCTACAAAATAACTGCAAAAAATCTCTTTCCTTCCGCAGACCGCAGAAACCCCAAATTAATTCCCGCTTTCGTTTTTATTTTTTGTAACATTTTGTTTGCCGCTGCTGCTATTCAATCATTTTTCTTTTCATTCAATTCTCTTTTAATTTCGGGTGAACTGTGCAAACAATTTCGATTTTGGTGCTACACATTTTCCCCAACCAACACACACACACACACACACATAAAAACACACACTCCGAAAAGCAATCAAAGAAAAGGCGTTGATGGGTAATTTGTTACAAGAGCAACAACGGCAACAACTGACCATGTCCGAAACAAGTTGGAAATTATAACGGTTATTATGATTATAATGATTATTAGATGATTTTGATCCGCGCCAAGACGCGCACAATGAATATTCCGACTTCCATAATGCTTTTGTTGCTAGTTGCTAGTTGCCAGTTGCCAGTTGCTAGTTGCTAGTTGCTGCTTGCTGATGTTGCTGTTGCTGTAGTTGCTTGTTGTACAAATTGCTGCTGTTGTTTTGTCAATGGTGGCGTGCTGCACATGTCTGTGTGCCTTCCAAATGTATTCGTGTATGTGTGTGTGTGTGTGAGGTATCACTTTCACTAAGTTCGCGCACATAGAAAGCAAATGAAAGCAACAAGTTGCTGGCTGCCTTTGCACTTTAAGGTATTAGCTCCCACTCGGGCCATAAAACACCACAACAAAAAAGTACAGATAAAAAAAAATAGAAAACTCCCCCAGGCCACAAAAAGCTAAAGTACAGAGCTCAAATAAAATATAAAAAAAAAAAAAAAAAAAAAACAACAGAAAAGAGGGAAAAAATTAGTATGGTGCCGAAGTTGTAGACGAAGTTGAAGTTGAAGCCACATTGTCATGCATCGCCGACTGGGCAACCTTTGGGTTTTTTTTGTTTTTTTTTTCTTTTTTGGTTTGGGGGGATCCTCAAGCCATTTCGGTTTCTTTGGACGCACAGCGTGGGAGTCGTCATTAAAGTCTGGGGATCTCTTCTTCTCAGGGAACTGTAACTGTAACTGAGACCCCACCAAAAATGAAACTGAAACCGAAACCGAAACCGAAATACTGAGGCCGAAATTGAAAATGTTTCATGAACTTGATTTCTTAATTTGCGTTTGCCCTGCATAACAAATGACTCGCCTAAAGTTGCCTTTTGTTAATTTCAATTTGCCCGAACTAATTTGATTTGCCACTCCAGTTTGGTTTTTTTTTTTTTTTTTTTTTTTTTGGATTTTTGCTCTCCCCACTTTTGAGTGAATTGGAGTGGCTAAAAGCATTGGATGAGTTGGCCTAGGAGGCAGCGTTCCGTTATGATGAAATTGTTGTTGCACTGGCATTGGCATCGGGATTGTATAAGAAGCTGGCTGCAATGTGTAGCAACAACTGGGCAAGACGTGTTATTTCTTCTTCTGTTTTTTTCTATTTTTTTTTCCTATCTCTGCGAGTTTAGTTGTTGCAGCTGCTTGGAAAGTTGCACTGTGGCTGGTTGTTAGTTGCTAGTTGCTAGCTGTTAGCTGTTAGCTGTTGGTCAAATGATGTTGCAGTTATTCGACCATTTATGGCATGCCTCGCCGCCTCACTGAACTAACTGAACTGACTGCCTCTGACTGGCTGCCGTTTTTCTTTCTATCCCCGTCCTCTCGATTATGCAAAATGTTGGCCAGCTCCAAAAGACGAGAACAATTTTCAGCGTTTGGGGATGAATCAAACAGCTCATGACATTGGATAGTCAGATGGTTATAGTCGGTTTGTCTGATAGTCTGACTGTCCGCTTGTCCGCGGGCCTGGGAACTTCTCAATTGAATAACTAATCATACAAATGCCGCCACGGCAACACATTTGATTATTGCACACGGCTGCTGGATCGCATTTTTGCATAGATACTCGTATTCAAAAGCGGCAGCTACAACTAAATTGATGGCTGTTTTTCTGTTGTTGTTGTTGTTGTTGTTGTTTTTATTTGTGCTGTCAGTGTTGTTGTGGCCATTTTCTCACGCTTTGCATTGACAACAACAGCACAACAACAAAAACTAAAGCAAAAGCTGCAACAAGAGTCGAGAACATTTTGCAATCAACGAATGCCAGAGATTTTTCGCCAGGCGTCGAGTGACCAAACTGGAACGGAACTTGCTTAATTGTCAATCAAACGGTGGGGAAAATACCCCTGACAAAGCGGCTAAGAAAACCATAGCACAAAGCCATTTCAGATAACTTGGATTCCTAATTGGAAATTATTAGAAAAAAAAACAATCATAACAGCAAGCCGGTTTAGTCGCAGATAAAATCCTATTGTTTTAACAGATTTAATCAGAAATTACATACAACTTTTTAATGGCTTGTTAAAACATTTTTTTAAGTTCTATAACCTTTACATCTGATTATTTATCCCCTCGAATTATCTATTCATATTCAATCAACTCTTTCATTATTTAAATGTGATCCCAAATTCCTAAATTCAATTAGGGAACGCTCAATCATTTGTGGCAGCGCAGAACCTTAGAATCAATATTATCCCATAACCTGCCGTCGGACTTAATCAATATTTAATCGCGTCTTTCAAGGGAGTTAATTTGATAAATGATGGGGAAATATCTGGGCAACTCAATTCGCTGAAGAACCCCATCGCAACCTAATTGGGAAATCAATCAAAAATGATTTGCTCGCTGAGGGGCAGTGAAGACTGGGCGATGAGAACTGTTGCCGAGAATTCTTGCCCATAATTGATGGCCATATAATCTAATATTCTTGTGGCCCCCCTTATTCATCTTTTTTCCCTTCTTTTGCAGATGCGGGATGCAGCTTCCCGGGATCGCCGGCGCACAGCAGCGTTGTCTTCACCAGCGCGAATCTCACCCAGGGAACGGTGGCCTCCTACAGCTGCGAGCGCGGATTCGAGCTTCTTGGACCGGCGAGGCGGGTCTGCGACAAGGGGCAATGGGTGCCCGAGGGCATTCCGTTCTGCGGTAAGCAAAAGCCAACAGACCAGACAGTCAGACAGACAGAGCCGACCAGACCTGACCAAACAAAAGACTGCGGACACGAACTTGCCGTTCGTCAACTCAATTAGCGCCTCGCAGGCGACTTCGATTTCAAATCGGAAACGTGGACGTGGTCGCAAACGCAAACGCCGACTGCCAACTACTTTCACCGCCACGAAATTTGAAGCATTCTCAAAATATATCTGCACGGAAAGAAACGATTTAAGTTGCAGAAAAATAAAAAAAAAGAATAGTTTCTAATAAATAAACATTTTTAAACAGAAAGAAAGCAAGACCCAAAAGGGTTTAATAAATTTGAAAGAATTTTAAAAATGTAGAAACATTTTTATCATCAAAAATTTATAGAAAGCCCAAGAACTTTTATAGGATGCAAAGGATAATTTACATTTATGTTTCAAACAGAACCGATTATAAAGTAGATATATAACATAACTAACAGAGAGTAATTCCCATGTTTAAAGTAATCTTAATTCTTTCCACGCAAACAAAAGAGAGCAAATGGCATTCCAATCGAATGCAAAGTTGTTAACCAAAAGCGAAACATGATTAACAAAACGCGCGAAATTGGGCTAAAATCCAGTGCGTGTGTGTGTCTGCGAAGAAAGACGGGGCGGCGAAGAAAGACGGGGTCAAAAAAAAAAAAAAAAGAGAGGCCGCGAGGTGGGAAGAATTCAACAATTGCCGCGCTCGACCAGATTGACCCACTTTGTAGCTGCGAACGTTAAAGCCAACAGACACGAAAAGCAAAAAAAAAAAAAAAAAAACAAGAAAAAAGAGTTAAAACGTGTTGGGCACGAAAATAAATAAAAATTCTAAATGAATTTCCAACTAGACATGCACTTCCGTGAGCCAAACGAACAAAAACCGAGTGATTGACACAACCAGAGCGCCGAGTAAATGGATTTCTAATCAATGAATTCCGGAATTTGTTCAATGAACTGATCGATTGGGGGGCGAACAATAATTCTCTCAAAAAAAAAAAAAAGGAAGGCGGCACTTCAACGATCCATCAAACTTTCGACGGGCTTTTTGTTGGGACGACAAACTGGGAGATCAAACAGATAAATCGATCGATTTTGGACAGTAGTAGGTGTTGATATGCGTTGATAAAGCCTGGGAAAATCTTGGATACGTGTTGGGGAGCTTAAGGAATTTTCAGGAATGGGAAACCTAATGAAAGATTACAAAAATAATAGTAATTTCACAATTTTTTAAACTTAAATCAAAGTAAAAATTCCGATTCAATAAAATTGATAATTAAGAAAATATACCTTCTTTTAGCTATTTATCATAAATTGAATTTCAAAAGAAATCAGTAATGAACCCAAGAATTTCTATTATAGAAGTAAAATCAAATCAAAATGCATTTCAATTCGAAAATTATGATTTTTCCATGGGCTGACCCAATTCGTTTTTAATTTATCCACTCGCTGCGTGGATTCATTTATATTCCCCCTTAAAGATTCCTTGACCCTCGATGAAATTGTGTGATTTATAGACATAGAGCTGCTGTTTTAACCCCTGGAATCTCCTGCTGTCTCGGCTGATTGCAACTTGATGACGCTGGAAAATAGAAGAAAAGGAAAACAAAGCCGAGGTTTCCGAACTGAAAAACGGTCTTTTATTGTTTGGTTGTGGATCTGTAGGCCAAGTTTTTGGAATGCGAGTTCGAAATTCGCCATGACACAGCAGGCAGGCAATAGGGAATTAATTAAAAGCAATTAAAAGGCATTTGTCACACCGGCAACACCTGCTGGCTACACGGAGCGAAAAGGCGGGGCGATTCGATGGCGAGCGGGGTTAGAAAGCAGCCGCCGCAGAAAGAGTTTCCAAGCCGCTGAGCTGCGAGAGTCGGATCTCCAAACCCGTCTTATCCGACAGATGCATCTGATTAATGAATCCCAATGCCGCAGAAGTGCGTGGCGAGCGATGTAATTAAGCCCGGCCAGGTGAGCAAGTAAAAGTTGAGCCGACATTAAATTTCACTTTTGCTTTTGGCCAGCAAACAAAAAAGAAGGCAGCCAAACAAACTAAATCCAAAATATAGTAAATATAATAATATCTGACGGAGTCTTAAAAAGACAATGGCCAGAACGAAGGTCTCTTGACAAATTCGCCAGGCAGAACATTGTTGGCTTTTATTTGCCTTTCCGAGTTGTTATTGCTTTTTTTTTTTTTGCTTGGCTTTGTTTTGTCTTGTTTTTGGCCACAAACCGTGTCAGGGCCCGCGGCCAATTAGCCGGGCCTTGGGCCCACTCTGGGAACTCTGGCCATCTATCCGGCCAACTGACACTCGGACCAACGGAATCCGACAAGAGAATCGCTGGAAAAGCGGCCCAACTGCGATCTTCATCGCCGCGAAGCGCCTTGAATTCCCAAATAATTACCTTTGACCCTTATCGCTGCAGTTAGCACAAAGTACTAAGTATACAAACTTATCGCATCTCAGCACTCAAAGTAGAAAATTTGCATACAACTTACGATTCTCAAACAAAAAATAATTAAATAAAATGTACATCTAAGCACAATCCGCTAATTATTTCACGAACTTTCTGTTAATCAGCAAACAGTTTTAGTTTAAAGTTTATTGTTAGCAAAAGCAAAGTTAATATTATCAGAAGACAGTGATTGACGACGACCTGACTTCACAAACATTTATGTACCAATCAACACTTTTTTGTTATTTTTAGGCCAACCTAATTAATAAATGGCTTTTTAATTTTCGTGCAGTTTTGAATGTTGCCGCTGGCAAGGCGCCCATGCAAATTTCCACTGATGGAGCCGGTGCTCCACAAAAGGCCATCGATGGTTCCACATCCGCCTTCTTCACGCCGGAAACTTGTTCGCTGACCAAGTCGGAGCGATCCCCGTGGTGGTACGTGAACCTCCTGGAACCCTACATGGTGCAACTGGTGCGCCTGGACTTTGGAAAATCCTGCTGCGGTGAGTTTGAGTCCAAAACTGTAGGGGAAAATTAATTTTTAATAATTTAAATACAAATAATTAAATCAGAAGTTGACAGAAATTCTTATAATATTTAAATGACAAAATAATTTAGAAAATCGTTTGGTAATATATAATATAATTTATATGTTTTGTAACTCCACATTTCAATGAGAAGTAAAAACCAAAATAAAATTATTTAGATGGTAAATAATGCAATTTAATCAATAAACGAAGAAACAAAAAGGTTATCCCTAAAACAAAAATGGAAAGTGATTGAATAAAAATACAAGCAAACCAAGATTATTCCCTTGCGTTGCCAGCTTTAGTTACCATAATTTGAGGCAGCTAAATCAACCGAAAGAAAAAACAATATCAAGTAAATGGCGCTTAGCCCGTGGTAATCCTCGAGCAAATTGATTAAATTGAGCAACTTTTCGCTTTTATTAAACCGCAGCCGGGCATTATCGCGTCGGCCCAACCCTAAACCTGTCGCAAACATATAGCGGCGATAAAGCGCTATAATGGACCTGCTCGGACCGCATTCTGTGGACGAAACTCTCTCGCCCAGTGGACAGTTCAATGCCCCGTTTTCCCAGGCTGCCAGGCTAACTGCCAATTGCCAGTTGGCCAGGTTTATTCGGTTTCGGTTTCGGTTTCTGCTTGGGTTTGGGTTTGGGTTTTCTTCGCCAGCTAAAAATGGCAAACGCTGCACGATCCTCTCCCCCGAAAAGCCGAAAGTCTTTGTTTATAAAAAAAAAAAAAGAAAAACCAAAAAAAAGGGTTGCCGAAACGTCGGCGGTAAAGCAAACAACTGCCAGCCAGTTTTCCCTAATGCTTTCACTTGCCAGCAACCTGAAGTCTGCACTTCGAAGTCTCTAGTCCGATGTCCCCCCCATCTTCACCTTCATCTCCATCTCCATCCCCATTTCCATTTCCATCTCGACTACATCTCGAACTCCTCGGATCTTCGAATCGGCGGCGGCTGGTTATGTGATTTTCGTGCGGCTCTGGCGACGACAGCGAATACTCCAACTTCGACTTCCAGTCGGTCTCCAAATCAAGAAAAAAATACAAAATAAAACCAAGAAACCCAGACCCAGTGAGTCAGTGCGGCCCAAAATTTATGATTACTTTCACTTGCCTGAAACTGAAGCTCAAGCTGAACTCGCAGTCGATGTTGAAGTCGAAGCTGAATCCGCAACTCGGGCCGAACTCAGTGGATGAACTGAACCGATCTGAACCCGCCTGACCCGCTGACAGACAAAGCCATAGCCATAATAATGTCGACAGGAATACCAATAGAAATAGCTGCCACTGCAGTCGTGCACTGCGAGAAACTGGACAGCTATCATGTGAAGATGCTAGAAAAATGGGAGAAACATCAAGACTTCTGAACACAAATACTTAATCATTAACTTTGTTTATGTCCAAAATATATCAATAGAAAAAATGAAATATTATAAATCAACTTGTTATATTTTCCGCAATTTTTTTTTTTTTTGTATACAAAATAATAGTAGATAGGATTTTAAAAAGTAACATATTTAAAATACTTTTTGTTCAGTAAAATAGATGTTTTAACTCCATTTAAGTTTTAAATTAGGAAGCAAGTTCTTCTGTAAGTTGTCATTTAATATTCTAAGTAAACTATCTGAAATAGTTATTTAATAATACTTATTTGTTGTGTACCTGCAATAACCTTGATTGCCCAATTACCTGTTTTTCATCCAGGCAACAAGCCGGCGACGATTGTGGTGCGAGTGGGCAACAACCGACCGGATTTGGGAACGAATCCGATTTGCAACCGCTTCACGGGACTCCTGGAGGCGGGACAGCCGCTCTTCCTGCCCTGCAACCCACCGATGCCGGGCGCCTTTGTGAGTGTCCACCTGGAGAACAGCAGCCCCAATCCGCTGTCCATTTGCGAGGCGTTCGTCTACACCGATCAGGCGCTGCCCATCGAGCGGTGTCCCACCTTCCGGGATCAGCCACCGGGAGCACTGGCCTCGTACAATGGCAAGTGCTACATCTTCTACAACCGCCAGCCGCTGAACTTCCTCGACGCCCTCTCCTTCTGTCGGTCCCGCGGCGGAACTCTGATCAGCGAAAGCAATCCGGCGCTGCAGGGATTCATCAGCTGGGAGCTGTGGCGACGTCATCGCAGTGACGTCAGCTCGCAGTACTGGATGGGAGCGGTGCGCGATGGCAGCGATCGCAGCAGCTGGAAGTGGGTCAATGGCGATGAGCTGACCGTCTCCTTCTGGAGCCATCCCGGCGGGGACGAGGACTGTGCCCGCTTCGATGGATCGAAGGGTTGGCTCTGGAGCGACACCAATTGCAACACTCTGCTGAACTTCATCTGCCAACATCAGCCGAAGACTTGTGGTCGACCGGAACAGCCGCCCAACTCCACGATGGTGGCCCTCAATGGATTCGAAGTGGGTGCCCAGATCAAGTACAGCTGCGATGCCAACCACCTGCTGGTGGGTCCTGCCACGAGGACTTGTCTCGAGACAGGATTCTACAACGAGTTCCCGCCGGTGTGCAAGTGTAAGTATATACTCGTCTAAGGGTTTAGCTTGAAAAATACAATGATATAACATTTTCTAGAGGATAGAAACCTCTACAAAATTTTTAACAATTTTTATAATTCAAAATTTTCAAAAAAAAAAAAGAGGTTTCTCTGAAAATTAAACAAAATTCTCTAATTCTAATTCCATAACTTTTTTATTTAAATCCTCTAAAAGTTTGTATTTTAATTCTCTAAGGAACTGTACTTCATCTTTCAATTTAAAGCATAATCATGATATTCCTTTTCCTATTTTTATATGATAATACATTTTTAGTATATTAAATATTAAATAATTTCCCCCTTCAGACATCGAGTGCGGTCTTCCGGCGAGCATTGCCCATGGATCCTACGCCCTGCTGAACAGCACAGTGGGCTACTTGAGCCTGGTGAAGTATTCCTGTGAGGAGGGTTACGAGATGATCGGAAGAGCCCTGCTCACCTGCGACTTCGATGAGCGCTGGAACGGACCACCACCTCGTTGTGAAAGTAAGTGGATACACATATTTCTTATTAAGTTATATAAATTCCTAATTCTAAAACCGTCTTCTTAGTTGTGGAGTGCGACACGCTGCCTGGCAATTACTACAACACCATTATCCATGCTCCCAATGGCACCTACTACGGATCGAAGGCGGAGATCAGTTGTCCACCGGGATATCGAATGGAAGGACCTCGGGTGCTCAGCTGCTTGGCGAGCGGCCAGTGGAGCAGTGCCCTGCCGCGTTGCATCAAACTGGAGCCATCCACGCAGCCCACTGCCGCACCCACTGTGCCTGTGCCCTCGTCGGTGGCCACACCACCGCCCTTCCGGCCCAAGGTCGTCAGCTCCACCACCAGCCGCGCCCCCTACCGCCCACCAGTTTCCACCGCGAGCAGCGGCATCAGCGGCAGCTCCACCAGCACAGTGGGCACGTATCCGAGTCTCAGTCCCACGCAGGTGGAGATCAACGGCGAATGTGAGTACAGTTGTGCAGTCAGTGGAATGGGGTCGAAGGTCATCTCGGGTACTTTGGAAACTTTCGAGCCAGACTTTACTTGCATGCAAATGAGCTAGCTTAAAATACATCTCACGAAATGCCTTTTCTTATCTGCGAAATCTTTAAGAGTAAATAGTGTCAAAAAAGTTGGGTAATGTCCTCGGTTTTGTAAAGAATAGGATCTGCATAACAATTACCAATAGCAATAACAATTTTCTTACATTTTATAGAATTTTTTGCATTAGATTGGCTAAGTTTATTTATCATTAATTTCGGAATAAGAAATCATCACTCAAAGTTTCTTTACCTTTCGTTTTGAATTAAGAACTACCAAAAGTTGTACCTTTTGTGTGTGTTTTTTTAAGTTTTCTTATAAACTTACCTTCAACTAATTATGATCCATTCCCTTAGCTGAATCCGAGGAGGACATCAATGTGCCACCAGTGCCAGGAACCGTTCGCGAGGAGTTCCCGCCCCGCCGCACCGTGCGACCCGTGCTCATCCCGAAGAAGCCGAACAGCACGCCGGCCGCCCTGCCACCCACCACCCACCAGATGCCACCGCAACCACCCTCCACGTACGCACCCACACCACCGCGCAGTAGACCGAGTGGTGCGCCGAGCGGTGGAGTGGAGTCCACCACGCGGAACACGCAGCAGATCATCGCGAACTCGCATCCGCAGGACAACGAGATCCCCGACAGCGTCAACATCCAGCAGAACCAGTCGCCCAATGTCAACGTGCCGTTCGCCGTCGACAATCCCGATCGCAAGGAGACCAAGGAGGCCAAACTCAATCTGGGCGCCATCGTGGCTCTGGGTGCTTTTGGTGGCTTCGTCTTCCTGGCCGCCGTCATCACCACGATCGTGATCCTCGTGCGAAGGTAAGTCCATCAGAACTCCTCCGGCGAGTGAGGGGCACAGAAGCAAAGATATGGGACCAGTGATCAGTCCGATGTGTTCGAGGTCAATTTGGTCTTTCTCCCCAGATCAATCAGATATTTCGAACCCAAGGTGATCATTGTGATTGTGGATTACAAGACTAATATTTTATACGAAATTCAATGGTCGAGCTTGTCATGCAGATATATATGAAATCAAATTGCTAATATATTAATCTGGTATTTGATGAACAATCCTATCTCACTAAAACATTAATGATGCCAGCTTGCAAAAAAAAATCAAATATAATCAGCTATGTACATTTATTTTTTAACTAAATCGTTTTAATAGTTTTAATTAGAACATTGTATAAACGTTTTAAGAACTTAAAAAACTGGTAATCATTTCATGTAATGGATAGATAACATTTTTATTATAAACAAATATTTTGATTTTACAATTCGGTTTTTTAGGGTTTATATTGTTTAATTTTTATTTATTCATATAACAGTTGTTCCTAAAAAGATCTTAGTTATTGGTTGATTATTAGATCCATCAAGCACCATTTTAATTTTAGATAAGATCAGATTGACCGCGTTGGCATATCAATATATAATATATATTTTTGTTCTGTGTGGAGTAAAGTCGATCGTTGTCGGGGTCACCACCTGCCCAGCCACCCCACTCTGTCTCTTTCTCTCTCTCTCGCCCTCTCTCTCTCCCCGTCTAGCTCACACACGCTGTCTCCGTCTCGCTCTTCCCCCTTAGCCCCATTGTCTCACCCTCTCTTTCTGCGCCGAGAAACCCCTTAAAAATTTTGGAAGGTTTTTTCTTTCAGTAAGCCCGGACCTCAGAAACTATCTCTCTGTGAAAAACACACACACACCCACTTTTTAGCTTCCGAAAAGAGAGTCTCTAACGCACACAGACACGCACACGGAGCACACACACGCACACACACATGCACACACACACACACACCTGAACATCGAACGCTTTCTCTTTCTCGTTGTACAACTCTCTTTTTTCGTTTTTGCTTCTCCCACTCTCTGTCTTTTGGCAAAACCATTCGTCAGCACCCCGAACAGCCAACGGCGGCACCTTGCCAAACACTTAACCGCTTACCAACATCATCATGCTCATCATCACCACCACCAGCAGCTCCAACACCACCACCACCACCATCAGCAGCAGCAGTTCGAACACCACCAGCAGTTCCAGCAGCACCACCCGAAGTACCAGCTCCACCAACAGAAGTACCAACAACAACAACAACAACAACAACAGCAATCGCAGGCGAAGAAGAGTCAGGGATTCGCGTCGGGAATCGGAATCGGGATTGGAATTCCGAGGCCCAGTCGATTACCCAGCTATGCCACGGCGACGGCCACCAGCGCCACCAGCTACGCATCCACCGCCCAATTGACCCACCGTTTTGGCAACGGCAACGGCGAAGGAGGCGGTGGCTCAGAGGGCGGTGGCTATGGGAGCATCGGTTCGAGTGTTGGCGGCGGTCTGGTTCAGGCCAACTCATTGTGGTACAGCGTTTTGGCCTTGCCCTTCGACGATCAGAAGCTGGGCAGGCGGGAGTTCAGCAGCTATGGGCGTGGCTATCGCGCCCGCGCCGGACTCTTCAGCAACTCGCACATGTAAAGAAACCCCACACAAGAAGAAGAAGAAGAAGAAGAAGAAGGAAAAGGAATATGGAACAGTTAACCGGAAAAATGAAAGCCAAAGAGACCTGCTACTACCTGGAACCACTAGCTAAACTAAAAACGTGCCAAAGATGCAAGACAAACTATAAAACGAAACGAAAACGAATTAAAGCAAAAAACATTCAAAGCGGCCATATGCACAAATGTAAGCAGCCTCAACAAAACACAACAAAAGTATCTATATCAATCAACCAACAACAACAACAACAACAACAAAAACACCACCACACGAAACAACAATCAGTCAATCAGTCAGACAGTCAATCAAAACACTGAAACACCATAAAACCAAAACTTGAAAACTGCTGAAAAGCTGCGAATGCTGTGGGCTGTGAGGCGATAATCCTACTCCTTGCTGTTGCACCTCCATCAATTCAGTCAATCATTCAGTCAATCAAAGCATTTATCACCCATCCAAACACAACAAATCGGGACTCTCTTTTACACACACACACGAACACGAACACTCACACAAACACACACACTGCACGTTGTCTCTGTCTTTTTTTGCCTGCCTTTCTCTTTCGCAACCCCTCTATTTGTCTCTTTTCATTTATATATATCTGTCTCTGTCTCTGTCTCTGTGTGCGTAGTTCTCCGTGTTTAACCCTGTTTTTTGCCTGATCTTGTGACTAACCCAACACTATTTCGTCCTGGCATTCAGCATTTCGACTGGAAAGAAAAATACCTTATTTATTGTTTATATTTATCTTTCTTTCACAGAAATCGAACCACTCAACACTATCGCCATCGCGCCTCGCCCGACTGCAACACTGTGGCCAGCTTCGATAGCTCCACTTCCGGTTCCCGCAATGGACTCAACAGGTGCGTCTACAATTCCCAACTTGTTTTGTATTTGTATTTTAAATACATCACTTTAATTGATTTCCAAATTAATGTGTTATTGGATTTCAAGTACAAAATTCTTTAAACAAATATGAGATACGTTGAGAAACGCCCATTTTTTTATCGAAAACTTTAATATTTTATTATTTATTTGTAGGTACTACCGCCAAGCCTGGGAGAACCTGCACGAGTCCGCCTCGAAGAACAGCTCACACAACGCTCTGCGCCGCAAGGAGACCCTTGATCCACCGAGCATGACTCGATCCCGCGACAATCTGCGCGATAATATGCAGCGATCCCGCGAAAATCTGGACAGGTGGGTTAACCTCAAAATAGAAAATACGAAACTTGTTAAAAATTCTTAAAAGATGTAAAGATATAGTATATAGATTTACTCCCAAATAAACACTAAAACCTTGATTGTAAACCACTGCTAACCCACTCTATTCCCCAAACAGATGCGGCAGGGACAACTACGGGATGCGGGACGACTCCGAGATGGTGGTCTCCTCGGTGGTTTCAGACGTCTGTCTGAAGGGCGAGAAGAAGCGGCACCACCACCACCACCACAAGAGCAGCTCCCGCAACGGCGACTACCGCGATCGGGATCAGTCGTCCGGCAGGCGCGAGCACCACCGACACAGTGGTGGCGGCGGAGGAGGAGGCGGTGGTGGCGGCCACTATTGACCAACCATGGTCATCACCATCAACGTGGAGCGGCAGTAGCCAATCGAAGGTCGAGGCCAGCAGTCGAGCACGGATTTGGATCCGGAATATAAATAGGATATATCTAAATTCGGAATATCGAAATCCGAATGCTGCAGCGAGCGCAACAACGAAACGTTTTTTGTTTAATTTTAGCAACAGTTTTTTTTCGCGCTTTAGTTATGTAAGCCAGTTGATCACCCGGTGGGGAGATCGAGATCTATATCGAGATCGAGATCGAGATCGAGAAAAGGGTTCGGATAATGTGGAGGAGACTTTTCTGTTCATAGCGAAAAAAAAAATATGTTAAATCAGCAGCGCAAGAGATACTTTAACTTGCAAGTCAATACTTAGCTATACTCGAATGCGACGATTGTTGGGGAGAAAAGCCGAAAAATCTGAAGATTTAAAATTCATAGTTTGCGTTTATAACTAGACATTTTATATGGTAACTAAACAATTTTTCTAAAATTTTCATTTTATATATCCAATAATTGGTAGTTTCTGAAGTTAAAATGCAGATTTTTACGAGATTTTAAAACTCAAGAGATTTTTTTGTACAAGTTGATTCGAAATTGTAATGGATTTTTTAAGCTTCAGAGCTCCGGAAAGGAGCCCCTCTATAAGTATATGTGCTTTCGTGCTTCGATTTGGTCCGAACTCGTATAATTTATTCGCAAAGCTTTCGTAAGGTTCTTAGTTAAATTTTCCCTATGAATTAGTTGTATGTAAAGGCGTGAACAGGGCAAAAAGGCGAGGCGTAGTAATTAGTTGCAAGGCACGAGCACCCACATTTCCCCCTCCGCTTCCTCCCCTCCCAAGGTCGCCCATTTCCCCACTTCCCCCTTAAAGAGCGAACTCACCCCCCTTCACCCAGCAAGCAGATCACAGCTGCAGCCAAATTATGTGCAACTTGGTTTCGTTTGAGGTCTCAAGCCAAATCGACTTGCTCATAGTCGCAAATTAGTTACGTAAAAACTTACACTAGATAGAGCTATCCATCCATCCCCAAAAAAAAACTATAAATTCACTCAAATCACATTCCAATCGCGACCAACGATTAAACAAAACAAAAAAGAAAGCAGCAAATAATATCGTAGTACGCGTGCCACAGAACTTTCTGTATACAACAAATCTGAACAGGATCTGAAGATTATATAATTATCCCGCACCAAGCTGCACCATTATCCATTATTTTTTTTACCTACCCATTATATGTGTATCGCCCTGTATTTGTATTTCTAGAGTCTTGTAATTTGTAGATTTTGTTTTCGAGTGTGTATCGTCGAGCGGTCCAGTGCTAAAATACCGCTTAGTATGCAATATTATTTGAATTTCGTGCATTATTTCCAATGTAAATAATAATAATTTATTTCATAAATAAAACAATGAATATTTTTACTAAACAATTCGGAGATTTTTATTCGTGGGCATAGGATTTCTATATTTTAAAATAAAGCCTTTAATATATTTGTGACAAAATAAATGAAACACCCGAAGTCAAAATTTAAAATTTAAAATTAATATTGGGCGGGAAATTATTTGGCGGTAAAATATTTGGCGCCATCTCTTGGTGGATTCTACTATGCAAGAATTAAAATGTTAAAGTGATGTAAAGTGCTTACAGAACCACTGTGCTGTTAAGCGGACTTATCGAAACCACTGTTAATCGATAGTTAAAGAAACCTGTGCTGTTAAGCGCAAGCTTTCTGTTAAAATAAATTGAATAATTTGTATATCAAATATATTTAAATGAAAATTATTTTCCTGAGGTACATGTTGATTTTAATAAATCTTTGCTAAATATTTAGTGCTTATTGACTAAGCAGCATGAAATTCAGCCAAAGGTTGATTTCTAGTTAAATATTTTTAGCATAGGTAACTGAAACTGTGCTGTTAGGCGCACTCTACTACCAGCGTGACTCTTACAGCGATAGTGTGCTGTAAGGCGCAGCTGTCAAGTGCAACCCTGCGGCGGCGCCATATTGTGACAGCAGCTGTCAACTTCTCTCCGCTCTTGTTCTTTCTTTCTCTTTCTCGTTCAACCGTTCGCCACTCAAGATGGTGCGTAAAATTCCACGTTAAACCGAAATTAAATCGCCGAATTTCCGAAGCATCCCAACGAGTTTTGCCAATAAACCGATACGTTAATTTAGACTGCAAATTGCAGAGTGCGAAAATTAAACAGTTTTCAACTTGGGAACCCCGCTAAAGGGGGAAATTCACTGGCGAAATTATTTCATTTGTTTGCGTTTGTTTCAAAGACAGTATACTAATGAGATTTGTTTATATTACAGACGAAGGGTACCTCCAGCTTTGGTAAACGCCACAATAAGACGCACACCTTGTGCCGTCGTTGTGGACGCTCATCGTACCACATCCAGAAGTCAACTTGCGCCCAGTGCGGCTACCCGGCCGCCAAGTTGCGTTCCTGTAAGTCACCCATGTTTATACCCAGTAGTACCTGGTACTAACCGAAGTATTTTCCATTTAGACAACTGGTCGGTGAAGGCCAAGAGGAGGAAGACCACTGGAACTGGCCGCATGCAGCACCTGAAGGTCGTGCGCCGTCGTTTCCGCAACGGATTCCGTGAGGGAACTCAGGCCAAGCCCAAGAAGGCCACCAAGTAGATAGCCCCCACGGTATAATATATATCCCCCGATATATATACATTCTGCTAGCCGAACGACAGCCACGGGCTCTGCGGGAAAACAACATCCAAATCCACAGTTAAATGGCCCTATTGGGCGAATAAATCGCTCGAGCGCTAATAAATGAACGTTTTTTTTTATTAAGTGAATCTGGTGACTATTTTTTTACTGTTTGTGAAAGAAAAGTGAAATGGTACGAGCTGTTTTTTTTTAATGTGACTAAAATGCCTTGAAAAGCAGGCGTCCAAACCGCCAAAATGATTATACATAAACATCCAAAACATAACCCCAACTAGAAAGGTAATCCTCGTGGTTGCCCCAGAAATCGTTAGCGTCTGGTGAGAATAATTGCAGGTTTTCTAAAGAACAAGGCTACATAAACTCAACGTATCGCCTTTTATAACCTGCAGCTTCCCTAGCCAAAAAAATAAGCAGGCGCCTTTTTACAAAAACATGAACAACCTTAAAGTGCTAAATAGTTATATTTATTTTTGTGATCTCCGAAAGTTTATTAAAATGTTGTAAGCGCTATTACCCAATCCTTTAATTTATAACAATTTCAAACTAAAGTATATAAAAAACAACCTTTGTTTTGCCTTAAACTACGATCCAGAAGTTTTTAAACATTAATATGTTCTTAAAAGGCAGATCTAAATCTCAGAAAGAGGAGCGATACATTGTGTTTAAGTACAAACTTTGGCAAATAATAGGTACTTATAGGAAAAGAAACTGCCAAAAAGATTTAGAAAAACGAATAAAACTGCTATTTAAACTAAAAATTTAGTTAACTCTACCACAGCTTGTACAAAACAGTACTTTCAACAATCATAAAAATTGATACAGATGAGGCGCGCAATAAGAATTCTCAATAAGTGTGTATAACTTTTAGCTGTATCAGTTTCTGCTTGAGCTGATGAATTAAATTCTTTCAATCTATTTGTTACAAGATATTAATGTATTAAACAATTTGTTCACATCAACATCGACAGAGAAGAGATGTTAGAGATTAAATAACAAAAGACCAATAAGACTGAACAATTAGGTCTTATGTATAGACGATTACTCTTTGAATTAGATTCGCTAGCGTCGACAGTATTTCTATAGTTGTGAGAATGTTTTTGGTTTATGATAAACAATTCGGCATATCTTGGTCAATTTGATGGCTTGAATCGGATGAAAATCACATGTAGAGATCCAGTCTTACAGTTTAATGGCAACCTTCTTCCAGTGATTCCCAAAACCTTACCAACATTAGGCATCCCCCACTGATGCGTCTCAAACTGTAACTGGGTTTGTTGACAGCTTTCAATGGCTTTTCAACTGTATGCTCTGAAATTGAATATTGCATACTTTGGGGATTAAAAACTTCAAGATTTTGTAACATATTAATATATTTGATTTATTAAATTACCTTTAAAAAAAAACCGACATTCGACCTCGCTTAAGGTAACGTAAGTATTCTAAGAAACATGGGTTTCGAGAGTCTCAGCTGGATTCCCCAAATCCAATAAGGGTATACATATATGGATTGGGTTCATCCAGTGACTTCCTCTCGAAACCCAATTTAGCAAGCAAGATAATATCGTACATCAAGCAGTGATTGATTGGTTTATGACTACGAATCGGTTCTCATTTGTCGCTCGATTTGACTAATAGTACAATTTACAATGTATAAAGCGTTCCACTAAAACTAAGGGCGGGATTTTTGGGGGTATTTCGATATGGGATTGGATTGTATTGGACTGGACGGATTGAAGGGGAAGTAGGGGAGGTACTTTTGGGGGCTTTGATCGCTGGGGTTACTAAACATATTGCCACTAAATGCTAAGACATTTACAAGTTACAGCTAAGAAAGAGTTTATGGTCCAGACTAATCGGAGTGCGGATGCGAATGGAGGGCATTGCTGGGCTTTGAGGCTACTAATGTCGTCGCATCCTGGGATTCCGTCACAGGAGCTGTAATATCCTTCGTCGCCTTCGCAGCAGCGGGTCGCTTGATCAGCAGCTTCTTCAGATTCTGGAACGGCGCATCGAAGAGCACCGTCAAAGCCACGGAGGCCAGGAAGATCGATATGAATTCGTTGGTATCGAGCTATATAATTAGTGAAGAGTATAATTTACTATATGCTCTCACAAAGGCATCTCTCCTGTACTCACTATAATCGAAACAAAGTTGTAGTAGTGATGAATGTGACGCCTTCGGCCGACATTGAAGAAGAACACGGGGAACTGCGTCAGGTAAATGGCGTACGACAGCTTTGTGGACACCTGGAAACCGCGCCAGGCAAACAGCTTCGTAAGTTTATCTGTTAAAAAACAAAACAAATCTATATGAAGTATTTTCTTTAAAGGGATTCACTTCAAAACACCCACTTGTGTATCCATTGTGGGACACGAAAACGATCCAGGAGAAGAACAGACACCAAGCAATTGGCGCAAAGGCGGCATAGATGGCCGCATGTGTGGAGTTGTACACGTAGTTGATGTCCCCCATGGGAGCGGGTCCCAAGAGGGAGGCCAGCACACAGGCGGTGGCCCCCAGCCATCCCAGTCGCAGTTGCAGGCTGCTCAGCTTGGCGTTCTGGTACTTGCGCAGCACATAGCCCAGCAGGATGCCCATGATGTACACCGTGGAGCGGTGCGGCGGGAACGAGTACATGTAGTCCGCGGTGCGGAATAACCTCTGAATGCTACGGATGATGCAAAGAATTAGTCATATCAATACACTTTCGAAGAATTTATATATGGATTTTATATAGAACTCAAACTAAAAACTATGTTGGAGATTAAAGATTATTCTTCAAAGTGTAATTCTAATTCCGGCTTTATAATTTAAGATTGTAATCAAAAAGGATTCTCAACCCCTTTGAACCTGTCGTGATTAAAACTTTATGGGTTATTAAATATACCCCAACTGAACTTATTTTTATGGCTAGTACACCCCATCCTTTAAATATTCACAAAACTTACTTGGTGCCAAAGTAGATATAGTTGGACAGCTGGTTGACGATCGTGGTGTAGTACCTCGCCGCCGTTCCCACGGTGCAGAGGAGCAGCAGGACGAAGAGACCGCGTCGTGGCCACCGCCAGAGTCCCAGGATGAGAATGGGAGCCACTGCAAACAGTTCCGTATCGATGCCCAAATGATGGGTGTGCGTGAGGCACATCTCGCCGAAGCCAAAGTAGTTGTGGATGAACAAAAGGTTGCGCCACCAGTTCTTCTTGCAGATATCCGCATGGTGACCCACCACCAGGTTCCACTGGGGTCCACTGCCCCACAAGGGCAGCACATAAGTGCAGAAGAGGATCAAGGCGGCCAGAGGAGGAACAATCCTAAAGGAGATACATGAAATCATTTATATAATGGGTTTATAATATTTCATATAACTTTCCCACCTCATCAGCCTACTAATATATTCGTTCTTCAATCTGATGGGTTGCTGCTTCATGAGGCGACCAAAAAGCGAGTAAGCCGTTAGCATTCCACTGAAAAGCAGGAAGGGATCTGTGTACAAAGAGGCAGCTCGCCCAATCACCGTCCACGGTTGTCCCAAACTTTCGGACATCGCGGTTCGATTGTTGTACGGATTGAAGAACATGGCCATCGACTTGTGCGAGAAGATCAGCATGATGGCGTTCAGGAAGCGGATGCCATGGACCGTCTCGATGTCCCCGGGAGCACTGCTCGTGCTGAACAGCCAGCGGAGGTTCTTGTCCAGCGAGAAGGCCGTGAACCAGGCATCTGCAAGTGTGGATTTCCCATAAGAAAAAATTGCATTCTTCCAGTTTTTCTTACTAAAACTATCTTAAATTTAAATTGGAGTTCTTGAAACCTGGCAAACAAAGCATTATTAAAGTTGTATTCACATACGGATTATTGAGACATAAAAAAAGTTTAAAAACACGTAATATGAATTACACATTTAAATATCACACTAAAGTAAATCTGTAATTTTATCTCCGTGAAAGCTTCTGAGTAACAATAATGGTTGTTTTTATGGCTAATAAACAAATGATTGATGGTAGAGTTAAGTTAACAAATAGATATGAATATCTAATTAATATCGAGCAGTTATTTTATTTGCATAAATATATTATCTATTTTATAATATTTATTTTACAGCCTAAAGGACTCACTCTGCTTGGGCTGCGCCTTGGTGGACCGATCGTAGATGGTGGATAGCACCGCCACGGAGAGGACGAGCAGGAAGAACCGGACCGCCCAGGTGGTGTTCCTGTCCCAAGGCCGCTGATCCCGCACCTGGCACATCTGCGGCTCGACACGCACGTTGAAGGTGATCCCAGTGGAGGCTGTCTGGTTGGCCAGGAACTCGGAGATGCTGAACTCCACGTCGCGGGCGGAGCAGCCGGATGGGACACAAAGACCCCAGTTGATCAGCGAGTAGCGGGGCACTCGATGGCCGGGCTAAAATAATGAATGATGAAGTGGGTTAGCGATAAGCGGACATTGTCTCATCCTCCATGTGCCGGGTTAATTGAATCGACTGAATCTCCGAGGGTCTGTGACCCAATCCCTACATCACGGCTGAACAATAAGCCACGATGACTAGTTCAACGGAATTTAAGGCAATTCAATTAAACCAAGTCGCGTTTGTTCCGGTTATTCACTCTCGTGACTTTTTTGCAATTAGCTTTTAACAATCTGTTCTAGACATTATTAATGTTCAACAGTTAATTACTTTATTTGCACACAATTATGCATTTTCATTATATTGACTTGAATATTAGGGTATATCGCTAAAAGGGTTCAGCATTATATAGATTTAGGTTACTATACCTAATAAAATTCCTCGAATTACTAATTTAAATAAAAATATAGTTTTTTTTTAATAAAGCGGCTATAAAACATCCTATAAATTTCTTGAAACAAATGTTTTATTCATTTTTGATCCTAAATCGAATTCGTTAAACAAAAGTAAAACCGAAACAGGTCAGTATGGTTTCCTAAATGATTTAAAGTATAAAACATGTATTGCTCGCATTATTGGCGACATAAGGGAATAAATCACAACAAACGATTTATATTCAAATGCTTTTTTCTACATGTAGAGATCCGATATTGGGTTCAACGGCCGAGTTGTTCGGTTAGAGCTTCGATTTCTGCTGTGATTTGTGATTTGCATTTTACGGCCATCTATCGCGTTTGATTACTTTGCTTTGCTTTCCGTTGCGCCGGCATTTTTCGACTTTGGTCAAGTTCAATGTCGAAGACCAACGTTTTAGCGGCCCAATGCTAATCAATCTATTTGGCCAAGTTATTATTTTCAATATATGGTATACCCAAACAGAAAAAATGTTTCAGGCTAACGATTAAAAGAAAGGCAAACAAGTTTTGGAAATCCCATGAGTTTGTTATGTTTAAATTTCGGAATTTAAGAGTGAGAATTCTTTAAAGGCAAAATAAATTGTTCAATATTTTTATTTTGTCATGTATTCGTTTCAACCCGGTTATTTAGTGTATTCCCTTGTTTTTGCATCCCAGTCACGTGCTCCATTTAAGGAACTTTAAGATGGAGGCACTTATTACTCACGTCATTGAACTCGCTTTTGAAAGGTCCGTGCGATTGAATCAGCTTGAAAAAACTCTGCAATCGCTTCGAGTTGTGTGGCAGAACTGGTTGAGCATATGCCAGGCAGTACTGTCCCCGGATAATGGAGTCCTCATCCCGATCCTTATCCTTGTCCAGATCCTTCATTCGCTGCTGAACGCTCAAACACTGATCGAAATCGCCGGGTTGATTAATGTTGCCATTTAAAATGCCCGAGTTTAATTTGCCACTGGCATCGTGCACTGTTTTGTAAATAATAAACAAACAATAAAAATGAATATAATTAAACATTTATAACATTACTAAAGCGTAGTCTACTAACCCCAATATATTTAGTATCTCTTTCTATATATTTTAAATTTCTTAGAATACAAAGCAAATCTCAAGAAAAGTGGGTAGATCCTACGTCATTTTATTGTGCGTCGTTTTGTTCTTAAAATATCACTTTAAAATATACACGTATGCAAATCACATTTCTAAACCATTTTCTTGTTCTTTGAAGTTAACCAGGCCTTATGGGCTGTTAAGTTTTTTATTGTATACAAACAAAAAAGAAAACTTGTTCTCTTCATCAAATGAATGTCAATAAACTTGAGATCAATTTGCATATTATATGACTTTCTTTAAATCTTTGATTAATGCCATTAGCTAAAAGAAATCAGCTAAATTCCTTAATTTGCAATTAGGTCTAACCTAATAAAGTTCTGAAATAGAACTCCGAATTTCTACCAGTAAACTCTATTTCCATTTGTGTGGTTTATTTAGCAAATACAAGATCATAACGAATGTGATCTCCGAATTATAATTTCCATGTAACCACTTTTGTGCTCACGTTTTGACCTCCGCCTTCGCTTGTTTTTCTTATTCACTCGATTGGAGATTCCTCGAATAGCTGAAAATGTGATCCATTCACGTTTCGTTTTCGGGTCTCCACTTCGAAGGTGGGCGGGGTATGGGGAGGCGGACGGTGGGCGGCGGTGACCTTGACTGTGATCGCAACTGATTCTAAGCCTCTGCCGACGTCGACGACGACGACGTTGCGGTCTTTTGTGTCAAGTTCGCGTTCGCTGTTGCAATTGCAATCGCTATTTCGCTATTTTTGCTGATGCCTGCGATTTTGTTGCTGCTGCACTTGGCTGGAAATTCGCTGGATGCAACTGGCATTGCCACACACGCGCTGGTGTGAGTGTGAATGCGAGTGTGAATGTGAATGTGGGTAAAGTTCGACGGTTGGCCTTCACTTTAGATCACACACAGCTGCATTCACAGTGCGGGGTACAAATTGGGGCTCACTCACTTCCTAAACTATTACAAATAATTTGAAAACATTTTTTTTTGGTAGGAAACATTTTTATACCTAAGTGCATCATAATATTTATGGTTAAAAAATATAGCTATTATCTACAGTTGAAAAATAATTTTAATAAAATTTGATCTGCTTTTGCTTTTCAGAAAGTAAAAACCAAAATACTTAGAACTAAAATGTAACAAATTCTTTTTTAATTTCCCTGTTATTGAATACCACTATTATCTTGCACACAACTGTAACATTTGATGCATTTGACTTTGGGGTCTTTCGATTCATGTCGGCTCGTCTGGCGGTCACGTCGAAGTCGACTGCGACGTCAACTGCGACTGCGACTGCGACTGCAACGGCGACTGCAACGGCGACTGCAAGTGCAACTGCAGCTTCACCTGCTGCCAGTTGGCAATGACTCGAATTCGAGCCGAACGTCCCCCGACTGGTTCTACAGTTCTACGGCTCCATAAGTCCAGCATCAGGCAGCCAAACTATACATCCATCTGCAGCCATGGAACCGCGTCAACTTGCAGAACTAGAACCGCGGCCAACTTCTATTGGATCTGGCCAATTTGTTGGCTGTCATGGGGCGACCTTGCCAGCTGCCCACTCCACTCCACCCCACTCCGCCTTTGAATTCAAGCTTGTTTACGCGGCTCTTGAATACTCACTCTTCAGAGCCCACAGATCGAAGTTGTCCAAGGCGTTAAGAAACTGATGCATCTGGCGACGACAAAGCGACGAGGCATCCGGATTTCTGGCCGGATCGAAGGGTTGCGTAATCGCCAGAAAACGCCTGCCAATATTGTACAAGTAAACTGGAAAAAGTGAAATTAAATACATAAATTTATTATTTTACAAAACAAAATATTTATGCAATATGGTTCATTTAAATATTTAAAAAATATGTAAAGATAAAACATAATGTTTAGGTATAAATAGTAGAAAATATTTTGTTGAACTCAAATAGTTTTCAAAACCCATAAAATTTAATAACATAATTATTATAAACGTTTAAGCACTACAATTCACTTTCAAGCTCTGAGTTATTTAAAGCTCTAACAATTTAAAATAACATTTTAATAACATTTAACTTAAGCAGTTGGGTAAATTATAGTGCATTGCACTAACAACATTGTTTCCACTCATTTTCCATTCCCATTAAATTTAAAGCAAATCTCTAATGTGTGTTATTTTCATGTAATAGACATACTAAAATAAAGGAAGTTCGATTTTACATCAGCAAAAAGTAACACTTTCGTTGAAAAACCCACCTTTGATTCACTGTAACCCAAATACGCAAACGTAGTTGCAAGTCAGGCAGGCATAAAATTATTACTCATATTTACAAGCAAACTCTAACCCGTGATCATCAAATATTAATATAAACGAGCTACAATTTAAACAATCATCACAAGCGAAACTACAAAATATCAGAATCGGAAAATTGGTCCACATGAGTGATTGGTTATTATTAGTGTGCCATATTGAATAGTTTTTCGGGGTGTTTTTGATTTGAAACTAAAAAAATATCATCGTAAACTAAATGGGTAAAGGATGTTTTTTAATTTAACTCCAAAACGCTAAAGGAAATTAAAGATATTTCGTTTATTAGTGTGGTTTACTGTTAAACTAGCAATTTATATATTTTCCGGTTGGAAAAACGTATTGGAAACTCTTTTTAAACGCTCTGCTTGACTATATTTTTATAATAAATGCTGGATAACGTTAGATATTTTTAATGAAGATTGATAAAGAAACTAGAAACTGATGGTCTGCAGTTAGAAAATTAATTTTTTCTATGTAGGTAAAATTTTTGGGAAAAAAAATTTCATATGGGATAATTTAATGTTATATTAAAACAAAATAAATATTTATTTTCAAATTAGGTACATATACCTTCTTTGTTATTTTCACATTTCATAAGCAAGTGGACATATTTTATTCGATTATAAATCCACAAATGGCGTCTGTGCCCCATTAAAAGTATATAACTCTGTTTATCGGCTCCAGGCCATTCGTGCCCCTTAAGGAAACCCAATTGCACATGTGTGCCCCAAAATGGACAAGGTCAGGCCCCTGGGCACGTGGCTCCCGAGAGCAGGAAGTCCACCGAGCGGCCATTCATTCAAAACCGAGATGGATAATGAGGCGCCGCCATCTAACCAAAAAAAAAAAAAAAAAGGGAAAAAATAAATGTCAGAGGGATGGTGGAACATCCCCTGGATCTTGGATAACTTCCAAAGCCCCAAGTGCCATCATCAGAATGCCAAAGTGGTGGCCCGATCCGATTAACATTTTCATTATCATGGTGCGACTGTCGCTGGCCACTTTTTATGCCAGGCAGGCCCCCATTTAAAAATGCCGATCGCGTGGCTCCAGCCATCGAACATCGATCCATCAGCTGCCGCCTGCATCCGTCTTTTCGGGGGGTAAAAAGGGGGTTTCAAAGGGGGGTTTGGGGGTTTTGAAGGGGGGCTTAGACTAGAGAAGTAGCCAAGGGGAGGGGTTTTCAGACTGTTGGGCAGTCCCCAAAGTGCTAAAATGCGTCAGAGTGAGACGAGCTACGAATGCCGATAGCCGATAGCGGATAGCCGCCTGTCGTCATATTCTATATATACGGGTTCGAAAACTAAATTTGGAAAACTTGCGCCGGCGACGAGGAATGAAGGAAGAATGGAGGAATTCTACGCCCGCTCCGATCAAATTGTCAGTCGCGGCATGAAGATGCGGCAACAATGGCAGCCGTGCGAAACATTTTCAGCATTTCTCAACCGGCTCGGTTCCCTTCGCTCATTAGCATCGCAAATTATGAAGATTCTGAGACATTGATATGACAAAACCGATCTATAGGATAGTTTGTTAGTGTCGTGAGCTGTTAGCTCCCTTGAATTTCCAATTCTCTAGGAAACAGAGGCTTTCAAATTAAATTGGAAAAAAGTTACACAAAAGAAAAGATAATTCTTTCTCTTTTGAAATTAATTAAACAATTTAAATACATTTGTCAAGGTATGTTTTTAATTATCAAAAATACAATGGCTTGCAAAATGGCAACCCAAAACTGCACCTACAAAATCCTTCGCAATTTTATGTTTAAATATATTCCAAACAAATCTCCATTTAAATGTTTCATTTTGTTGGAGGTCGCATTCTTTTTTTTTCTTCTGGACTGCAAAATTTGTTGAGAAGTATCGTAAAAAGTAATAGAGATACTAAAAAAACTGTTAATTTCTAGACAAAGCAAACCATCCAACCAATTATTATGCAATACATTTCTAATACATAAAAAACACACGTTGGGGAATAGAAAATTCAAACGAACCAGTAGATTTAATTATGGCTAGGCCAACGCATGATCGTAAATAGTGGATCGTAAAACCGAAGACAATCTCGAGTTGATACAATGAAATGAAAAGTAAAATTACCGGACAGAGAACGCCGGGCGAAGAAATCGTGGCTCGCAGATATGCTAAACGTTATGTAAAACAAGAATCGCACTTTGGACCCGGCCAACACAAGTGGCAACTGGCTGCCAGTTGGCGGCTTAATTAAACCGTCTATCTCAGCTGAGTTTGCGTTTCGCATTCGTCTCTGACCCACTTGGCCGAGTTGCTAACTGAAAACTGAAAAACTGAAAACTAAAAACTGAAAACAGAAAACTGAGCACTGAGCACTGAATCGGCCAAAAGCCAAGAGCCAAATAACTGGCAGCTGGACTCGCGACTCGTGTTGTTGGCCAATTCCTGGCTGAAAAACCAAAACAAAAAAAAAACAAAAAACAAAAAAAGAAAAGATCGCGCAATCCTTGTTGCCCAAGAGCGTTCTAGTTAACGGATCTGGTTTTTTCGGCCAGCCAGAATCGCATCGATTGTAATGGCCAATTGTGTCGGTGAATGGGGCACAAATGGTTTTTCGGGTTTCGCGGCTGCCTGGCTCTGATTTATATACACAATATATACATATTTGTTTACGATCGTCTCGATGGTGCACAATAAGCCGGGTTTGTTTGCCAAATGATTTCATGTTGCCAATTAGCAACGGGCCATCCCGCAAAATCCATCTACTTATTCGCACCTTCGCCGGGAAACAATTGAACCAAATCGATCAGCACTTGTCACTTTATTCTTGTTAACATTTCGTCAGCTACTGCAATGCGATCACGATCGACTTTGTCCTCGGATGATCTCTATTTTGTTTTTTGCACGAAATACACAGAAAAAAATCAGCTTATGATCCACAATATAATGTTTAACAGAAAATATATAAAACACCATTTTGATTAAAAAGAAACAATATTAAAAAAAAGCAATTAGAAACGATTAAAATATATTCCAATATTTTAAAATAATATATATTACCTATATTATATATATAAAAATATATTATATTACAAAAATAATAAAATAAAATCAAGCAATTTGATTTTATTTAAAAACCAATTATAAATTATTTTATAATTTTTCCCAAATACTTATTCCCCTATTTTTTGCCCAGTGCCCCACAACTCAACTTAACTGGGCTTTAAAGTCAATATTTGCCAAGCCAATTGGCAGTTTAGTCGTTGCCCCGTGAAAAAAACAGCTTGTTGAGCTGGCCAATTTGCCACCGTTTCGAAGTTCTTGTTATCTCAACGGGTTAGATATCTTAACCTTTGGCCAGGCTATGTCATTTCCATAACCATAGCTATTGACTTCAAATCGTGGCAATTTTTTTTCGCAAATATACTCGTACATATCTAAATTTGCACATTTTGAAAGAAACATGTTTTGCGTTTTATGACAGCCTTTAACGGTACTTGGGGCTTGGTACTTGGTCAAGTGGTCGCGCACTTATGGTTGGATGATGGGTTAGAGATATGGTATGCGAATTCGCAGGCGCGACAAAATACAACAACAGCAACAACAGCAACAAATCGGCGACAAGCACTCGGCGAAGATCAATTACAAATAAACGAGCCACAAAGTGGGCAGAGCAAAAACAAAAAAACAAAAAAAACACAAAAAATAAATAAAAAACAGCTAAGACCAAAACTAAAACCAAAAGCGAAACCAAAAACCACTTAAGCTGGGTCGACAACTGGGCTGGGCCCTCGGTAATAATTTTATGCGGTGCTTTTTGGGAGGGCCCGTCTCTACAAGTTGAATGGGGAGGAACATCTTCGTCGGACATAACACTCAGAATTGGCACTGCGAAGATCGTGTTTGCAACGCTTTGATGGCGTTCGAGAGCGCTTGTGGGCGTTACGTTGGCAAAATGTGGCGCTAACCAATTATTTAATGGGAAAAAACTTAGAAAAACTGGGGTTACGATATTGGTAACCGTTTTTACGATATTCGGTTTAAATATTGAGACCATACTATTTATATCACCTTATAAAATATCTATTAAATTATTTAAAATTATTTAAGATGTGTTTTACGAAATTAAAAGCAGATGTTACGATGTTCAATTCCATAATAAAAACATCAATGTTCGGCTTACTTAATCCGTTTATTATAAATTTGATTAAAATACGAAACTCGGAACTATATCACTTACGATATTCAAAACGATATAAACTACGATATTCGGCTTGAAAGCTTAAAAACAAATCCTGATCAACTTTCAATTGATACCGGAATTTTTTACGATGCGTGGATTCATTTATTTAGAATTGTTATTGTTTTCAGTGATCCAGTGATATTTAATACAAGTTCAGGTTATAAAGTGAGTTAATAAAAGTGTGTCACCACGCGTTTCGCCGCAATATTTGCTAAGTGCAATTAATAAATGCCGCGACAATAAATAAACAAATTTAAACTTGAGCTACTGCATGCATTATCCTAAGATGCTGCTCAGCCATTAAGATAATTACTTCTGTAATTTAAGGCGATAACAGCTGGGACAATTATCCGGGTAAAACCTCCAGATTTGTGTGTTTCGCTTACGTGAGTCGCGACCTTATCACATTATGCAGACCAAAATGCAATTAAATACAAAGAAATACAGCAGAAAAAAACAAATTGTTTCGTTTACGTGAGACTTCGCACATTGCCTTGACCAAAACGCTCCAAGGAACCAGCGAATATCGGAGCACCGGGGGGGTAATATGTTGGAAATCCCCCCAATCAACGAAGAGGTCCTAACTTTTCGAGCAAATATTTGCACCGGAAAGGAAAAAAAAATGAAAAGCCGACAAGGCCAAACCTTTTAACAAGAATAAGTGGCCAACAAAAGGCCCAGACTTCGGACATCGGTGATTAGATAAGCGAAGATTTATCTTGGGATGGGCACTCTCTAAATAGCCGGAAGTTACCGAGAGGTGCGTCATTGGGGGAACCGATTTACCGATTTACGATCAAGACATGGCCAAAAAAATGTAAAGACAACCAGAAAAAAAAAAAAAACGAACGCCGAGCAATTGATTTTATTTGACGCACGCGCCTCTTATGCAACTTTTTTTTGATCGGTGGGTCAATCGAAAATTACACTTACAATTGCAGAAATCGGGCATTAAACGCCCAAGGCCTCGATGTGGGCGGCGTGAGAAAGTGTGTTCGATAAGCGATCGGGTAATGGATAGTTCATATAGGTTATATTCCCCCCCTTCCCTGACTTACCCCTTTCATCCTCCTCCACTTGCTCCTCGTCATCGGTAACTGCGATTTGTTCGTGAAGTGTGTAGTTCGCTGGTGGAGCGGCATGCAACTGACTCAAATTGGCCGTTTGATATTCCAATATCGTGGTTGCGGCATCATCGGCAAACAGCTTGAGACTATAGTTAACCTTATCCTCGAAGATCGAGGCGATTTTGCTCTCCAACTTGTCGGCAGTGACATCGCCGGATTCTGAGGCGGAATTGGCAGCTGCCAGGAGATTATCGCCCAAATTGCAATTGTCCTTCAGATTGCAAGTGGGCTGAACCACTCCATCGAGGGCCCGACCACTGGCAATAATCGCCAGAAGGCATAGGTAAACAATACCCAAAGACATCCTGTCCAGGATCCTGTTTCAATAACTTTCGATTTCGATTCAGTACTTTCCAGTTCTCTGGCACATAATCATCACACACTCAACAAGAACGGAGAAGGCAGTAAAAAAACACCAGAAAAAAATAATTATATCTATGATATTATTTTATTTTATTTTTTTTTTTTTTTGAAATATCGAAAGATGTAACGGCGGCGATCGATGAGACTGCGGATCGTTTGTCAGCGAATTAAGTAAAGCGACCGCCAAGACGAAACATTCAACGTCAACTGATTGTCCAAATGCCGCCGAGCATGCGAAGACCGCTCAGGTTCGGCGGTTCGGTGGTTCGGTGGTTTCGGTGGTTCGGTGATTGGGTGGTTCGGCGGCGGCTCAGCAGCTCAACAGCTCAGCAGCTCAGCAGCTCAGCGGTTCGGGGGGAAGCTCTATGTGTAAGTCACACCGACTGGACTGTGTGATCGTATATATCTGTGTTTTTTTTTTAGCCACAGACCGAATTTCAAAACCAAATGCAAGCCGAATTTTGAACGACTGCGGCTGAGACTGCGACTCTTAGTTGTTCCGATTCCGAATCGGAATCCGAATCCGAATCCATATCCAATTCCCATTCCCATTCCCGATCGCTCTTATGGGAATTGCATGACCCACTGTTCACCTATTCATTTAGCAGTATCTTCTTCCCACATTCGACATTATCTTTTGAGCTATCGAAATCTAATTGTTCCTGCCACAAATTGGGGGTATTATAGTCGAGCCCCTGATAAATGGAGTTGACAATTTGAGCCATTTCCAGTTCCCTATTTCAACTTTAATCCTAAGATAAGCAAAACCACATATTTTGTTTTAATTAAGTGATTATCTCAAAGCACTTTACGAAAGCCAAAAAAAAGTTACTTGTTACTTCTACAGATTAACAATATATAACATAAATAATTATATATATTTTTTTTATTTTTAATGATTTTTCAAAAAGGGTTTTATTTGAGCTGGTAATTTCAAAATTATTGAATTTAATAAATTTAATTTAATTAAATGGCAGTTTAATTGAAATATATTTTCAAAAGAGCAACCAAATCAAACCTATGTTAACCATCCTAACGATCAATCGAAACTTTGATCGCAATAAAAATGCACCAATTAAAAAAAAACCTTGAACTTAAGACTTACCAAAAGCAAACAAACCTGCACTTAATTCCAATTCTGAGATATTAACAGCACAAATAAATTACGAAAAACTGGATTTTAATATTATTAAATTGAAATTGTCTTAGACATAAAGAAAGATTTTTTTTGCAAATTGGCATGACACGACAGAATCGAAGGCGTCAGCAATGGAAAGTAAGAAGCTGGAGAAAGATTCGCAGATGCCAGGAGAAAAGGTGAATGACATCAGCAGTGGTAATAAAAATAAACAAGACCTAGAAACCGAGTTGGCCATGAAGATTCCAGGGGACTGCGTTATTTCGCAATAATTTCTTGCTGATCAATCGCATTAGAGGCCGGGCGCAAAAAGTTTGAAAACATAATTGCAGCCAAACTGCCGACGTTGTTGGCCAATAACTCGTTTCGATGACACCAGAAAATTTAAGGGGAGATGGAAACGAGTTCCCCGGGAAAAGAATCAACGCATTAAAGACGATCGAGGAGCCCAGAAGAATGAACCGCTTTTGCACCGCCAACAAGCTGGTGCAAAATGTCCATTCGCAATTGAAACTGACGCAAATGCATTGAAAGTGAGTCCGGTCTGGTCTGGTTGCCAATATCAAATTACCCAAGCCGACCCGAAGCCGGCAATTTGCAGCTCGGTTAGCCATATAGCTACATATATACCCAGAGTCTTAGCCATAAAGCGACTTGTGCCGGCGGGTTCTTGCAACAGGCGCCAATTGCAAGCGGAACCAGAGCAGTTCCAAAAATCCAAAAAAGAAAAAAAAATAGAGAAAAATAAAGAAAAAAGAAAACAAAACAAAACACACATCGCAGGCCCCCAAAAGCCTGCAGGCCTATTTATTAGTATATGTTTTAAGAAACTCACAAGAAACGTAACGACTTTGGACTACTATTAATCAGTCTAATAAAAATAAAAAGCTTGACAAATTATATGTTAAATTATGCAACCTAGAACTAGGTCTTCTTTTCAATATATTTTAAGCAAAAAAAGATCAAGAGAGAGACAATAAAATAAATGACGACGTTTATTATTCATTTATACTTTAAAATAAAAAAAGTAAACAACAAACTGAAAACCAATAAATTTTCTAATCCAGTTTTATTGGAGCTTGAACCAAATTAAAATATGGTTTTATTACCTTTTTGAGCTTTTATATATATAAATCAAGCAGGGGAATGAAATTTACATAAATTCTAAATACCAAAATTAAAAATAATATATGAAATCATTCTAATTATTTGTATACCGATCTACCCATTCAGGAAAACTAGATTTCCAGGGCACGCGTAAATAACCATTCTCTTTCGTCGGCTTGAAAAAGGAAGAATGTGGCAATTGACTCAGCGACTGCAGCAATGTTGCTACACAGTAACAAATAAGTCATAACTTTGGTTATGTATTTTAACAACTCTTTTAAAATGTGAAAAAAAAATGTCACAAATTAATACAAATTAAGTTACTGAACAAATATATTTAATATGTCATTGCAAACTAACAAGAGTTGTAAGTTTACTTTACAAAGTGTTATCAAACCTATAACTGTAAAATATAAAATAAATTTTTTCATAAATTTTTCACTTTAAACAACTTTTTTAAAATGTGAAAAAAATGTCACAATAATAAATATATTTAATAAGTCTTGACAAACTAACAAGAGTTGTATGTTTACTTTACAAAGTGTTATTAAACCTATAACTATAAAATATAAAATAAATTTTTTCATAACTTTGCTAACTAAGCTATGTTTTAGACACTTATTAGATTTAAGTAGCAATATTAGTTAGTTAAATTGCCAATCGAATGGCTAATACTTTTCTATTAGTGTGCCTGTGGCTATAACCATATGGCTTTAGTTTTGGCCATGTCTGTTTGGGGGCCTGTGGCAATCTGAGCGAGTTTGGTTCCGCGGAACCAACAACCAACGTCGACGGCGTCTCATTAACAGGCCAAGTTGCACGTTGCCCGTTGTCAGTTGCCTGTTGCGATTTTTCAAGAGGCAACAACCAACGTCCAAACGGCAACGTGCAACACTTGACTTGCGGCTCTAAAAAGTGACTGACTGGCTGACTGACTGACTGTCTTTCTGGCCAACTGACTGATTGGCTTACTAACGGACTAACAAACTGTCTGACTGACTGGAGTTTGGCAATTCGGCAAGTTTCTGAAGTTTGCGTGGCCGCTTTGCCAATTGAAATGTTGCCGTCTTGGCTTTTTGGCATTTCGTGCGAATTTTTGTCCCGGCTGGCTCCATTAGCCATCTAGAATTCTTGTTTGCCTGGGCAAATAGCTGCTCATCTCTTCCCTTGAAATGCATTACAGAGCTGCACACGAACCGGTTTTCTTCGTTTTTTTTTTTTCCAAGCCAAGAGCTATTTCCAAATAATTTCCAAACAGTTTCCAACATCCCAGCGACAGCGAAAGATCAGCGATCAATGGCGAAAGATCAAATCCATCAACGCGGCGATGGCAACACTCGTGGATCGGCTAAAACCAACTAGGCGTATTGATAACACGATGTCTCTGTTTGTTTGTTGGCATGTACAAATGTTTGCGGGGCAAACACGAACTCACACGAAACAATAAAACGTGGAAGTGCACACGAAACACAGAGTTGCAAATCAAACATCAAACCGTGTGAGGAAAATGCCAAGTCAGCGAAAATCCAGTGGCAACAATTTCTTGAAAATAAAGTGACTCGCATATTTAGAACGCGTAAAAAAAAGTGGTCAGGTAAACAGTTTATTAACAAAAAATTACCATACTTAAAGAGGCAACAAAGTGAGTTAATGGCTTAAAAGAAGCAAGAAACGAAAATAAAATATGCTGTTTGAATCAAATAATTGCACAACCCAGAAAATGAGTAACGAAAAATTAATTACAAAAGAAGAAGAACTAAAAACATTAAATTGCTTGGGCAACAATGTCAAAAACCATTTCGAAAGTCAATCCATAATTTGTAAATGCCAAGTTGGGCCATTACAATAAACTAAAAAAATATTAATCAGTGATAAATGTGTACGCATTTTGGCCGAAGCCATTACGATTTAGACACACGCATCTTTTTCCACTTTCGGGTTTTCCAGTCCAATCAAAAAGCCACTTCTGGCCAGGTCAACGTGGGAAGTCAATGGGTTAAATGTGCCCCTGCATTCGGCTGTGCAGTTCGATGAATAATCTGAAGATGGTGGTCATAAATGAAAATGATAATGACGACGCCGATGCCGATCAAGTTTGTGCCTTGTACAAGTCTTTTGTTTTGCTACAGTTGGGAGAGGGTATTGCGTTAGATGTTTTACACTGGAAGAATAAGAACTACGGGGTTTTTTTCATATATTTCAGTTTATTAAGTATTTAACTATGTTTCTGTTACATATATCCCCAAGAATATTAAATTTATTCTGATAAATATTAAAGAAAATCATAAAGTTATTATAATATACCTCTTAACAAATTAAAAGTAAATAACTTAATAATTATTTTAAAAGATTCTAGATCTAAATAATTCTTATCTTCTGATCCATGATTGTTTTTAGAATGTTTCGAATAATTTACATCTGAAACTTATTATTTCCTGTGTATCTGCATTTGAGGCCTCTTCAACCTGCCCCGCCCCCTTTTCGGTTGGCTTTCGCTTCGGCTTTCAACTTCTGCAGCGACCTTGGCAGCTGTAACCCATTTTCATTTTCAATTTCGATTTGGGCTTCAATTTCGCTTTCAACGGCTGCCACTGCAACGATTTGTATGTGGAATTTTAAACAGTTTCTTTGTCGCATTTCGTATTTTGTTTGTTGGCCACGACGATATGCATATGATGATGTCGATGGCTCTTGCCCGATAGCCCAGCTCCAAGTGTCTTGTTTGCTCGAAGGGCAATTGAGCTTGGCTAATTCCAATTCGGGCTCGGATTCAGATTCGGATTCGGTGTGAGCCAGGCCCAAAAAGCCACCACGTCACCGGACATCCATCCAACCAACCAACCATCCACTTGCATGTTTAATTCATGTTTACTTTTGGGTATTTTATTATTTTTATTTTGAAGTTTTCAACTTAATGGCTCTTTGTCCAATTAACGAGTTGAACTAATGC